TGTATTGTGTTGGTGAGTATCATTAACTGTCTGTAATCTTTTGTAGATTGATTCTGGCTTTTTGGTTGTGAGAATTTTCTTGAACATTGAAAGTGTACCTGCGTACAACCTCTCTTTGACAGTGGACCAGTGTAGGCGTGTGTGCATATCGTCAATGCTAGAGCTATACTTGGCATTTAGCACCAGTCTGGCTGCTTTGTTTTGAATGATCTGAAGTTTGTTAAGGTGAGATTGCGGACAGGCCGACATTATGCATGAGCAATAGTCCAAGTGACTGAAGACAAGTGCTTGTGTTACTGTTTTTAGCGTTTCATTTGTAAGAAATTCTCTTGATCTAGTCAAAGCAGCCAGCGCACTTGCCATTTTAGATTGAACTTTCTCTGTGTGTTGAGCCCAGGTCAACTGATTGTCCAGCAACAGTCCAAGCAGTTTCGCCTGCTCAACCTGTTCTAAGCTTTTGTTACCCATTACGAGCTGAAGTTGTGGGTTTTGTTTGAGTTTGTGACGGGTGCCCATGACTATGGTCTTAGTCTTATCCAAGTTTAACACCAGTCTGTTAGCTTGGACCCAGTCCCAGATGTTTGTCAGGTCTGACTGGAGTGAGTTCCGTACTTCCGATATGTTAGGGCCTGATGCTGATGGGGTAGTGTCATCAGCGTACATTTCTACAGAGCTGTGTTTTACGACTGTGGGCAGATCGTTAGTGTATAAACAAAATAGTAGAGGGCCCAGACAACTACCTTGGGGTACCCCGCTTTTGATTTCTCTGTGAGAGGAAACACTGCCGTTAACGAAAACGGCCTGTGTTCTGTTTGCCAGGTAGCTTTTAACCCAGTAAGTTGCGGAATCGACAAAGCCATAACTTTTTAGTTTGGCTAATAAGATCTCATGGTTCACAACGTCAAAAGCGGCACTAAAGTCCAGGAGGACAGCGCCAACAAGGTTACCTTTATCTATCTCTTCTAACCACCTGTCGGACATTTGTACCAGAGCACTCGCTGTAGAGTGCTGAAGTTTGTACGCATGCTGGCAGTCTGACAGAATGGCGTTGGAAACAAGGTAAGACTGAATTTGACTGTTACAAATCCTTTCCATCATTTTGCTCAGTGTAGGTAGAAGACTTATCGGACGACTGTTAGGACCGTTTAGTGGAAGGGCTTTGTTTTTGATGAGGGGTAGTATTTTGGCCATTTTCCACTGGGTGGGGAAAATTCCCTGTTTTATGGACAAGTTAAATATGTAACTCAGGGGTATTGCTATGTAGTCAGCTGCACTTCTTAATAATGTATTGTCTATATTGTCAAGCCCCATCGACGTACTAAGTGGAAGCGAGGTTAACAGCTTATGCACATGACTCACTGTAACTTCGTGAAACGAGAATGTACAGTTTTTTGATGACATAATGTGTTCCTCAATCGGTGCTGTTACTGTGGATATATCAATGTGATCACCTTGTGTGAGTCGCGTTACCTTGTTTACAAAATATTCCTGGATGTCTAATCTTTATCGACGTATCCCAATGTTATATCAACATTCACACACACAAAAGTGCCCAAAATTCTGACAGAAAAAAATAGGTTATTGGAAGGACCTGAATTGATTTTAGTTTAACACTCAGAAAATAAACGACTCATCTTGGAGCTTGTTTCTGTAGTTTTAAATACTGTCAATTTTCCGTTCGCATACTAAGTATTTCATTCAGCAGTCAGCACTGTAGAAAAATTCACAGCAGTGGCAGGAAATGGGGGAAGTGAAGCCACTGCCATTTGTGAATTTCGCGAAAAAAAATGTATTGATTAAAAGTACATTTCATAAAGCAAAAGGTTAAAAAATAATAATAATAATTGCAAAACATGATTCCGCCCGGGATCGAACCGGGGACCTTCTGCGTGTTAGGCAGATGTGATAACCGCTACACCACGGAATCAGCTGACGGTGGGGAGGCCTATACAGAATATAACCCTACCTTGTCCAATTCATCAATCTGTACACTTTCACAAGCACTTGAGAAGGTGTTTGTGAGTGTACATATTTTCCGTGAAGGGGAAAGTACTTCTAAAATCCGTGTGGTAGGTTTTAAAATTTTCTTGCGGAGGCAAAATGGACAGAATCCTGCCGTGGGCACGAGAGTGAACGAGAGGCGGACACCTCACCATCACGTGACCTGACTCCTGACCAATCAGAGGGCGCCACCACCACAGGCCGGGTCCACGTCACTCGCAGGTGGCGCCCCTCCTCACTTCCTCGTTCTCTACCCTAACACTAAGACATCACAACTCCTCAAGATGTTCAGGTGGTTTTCCTTGCTCGCCGTCGTCGCCTTGGCGTCCGTAGACGCCGACGAGGTGCTGGATTACTCGGGGGACGACTTCGCAGACCGTATTGCTGAGCACGACGTCGCTCTAGTGGAGTTTTTCGCTCCCTGGTGAGTTATAAAAATCCGAGTCGCACACACACACACACACATGCACGGTGTCCTAAAACCGGCAAATTTGCTTTGCCGAGATTTTTATGTCATGATACACCTTAATTTTCTTGTGAGATATTGTGCAGAATCTTCATCGTTAGGTCACGTTTTGTCTCGGTCAGAACCGATATGTCGTTTTTAGGCTTGCAACCGAAAAACATGAGCCAAGAAGTAAGGTGTGTAGGGGGAGGGGGGCGACAAGGGAAAAGACTGAAACTTGAGGCCGCACAACACAGTATTTATGGGCGAAAGTAGTCCGGGCACAAAGTAGTGCTTCACAATACTAGAGAAGGGTGCAGAGATTGTTCTGAGCATGGTATCGAGATAGAACCTGTGGTAAATGTTAGAGGAATATGTCAGTTTTGAGACTGTAGAAGTTGACTTATGGTGCGTGTTCAGTCGGCGTAGATTTTCGCTTGGATACTTGTCCCGCCTAGTACTGTGCGTCGGCTGCAGTTCCATGACCTCCGCAATGGCGCTAATAAAAGAGGGCATGAGAAGAAAACTAGCCGGCAAATTTGAGCTCATTTTCGCATATGTTGTACACTATACCCTGAAATTAAACATATCAAAAATCTGAACCTTGCTTGTGCACCCTACTATGATTTTCAGTGAGTCGAAGTGAGTCACTTTGGGGTCCTTAACTATAGAAATCCCCATAGGGCTAAAACTGTGTTGTGCCGCCTTGTTGAAAATTTCTTTATAAAGAAAATAATTTATGACACGAAACAAAGACATTTTATAATATTATTATATACAGTTATCACCACTTGTAAGTACACAGTCCTATCGTTTATTAGCTTGTTATATTTTCCTACACCCGAAAATAATTTTCCATGCGTGACGTTATGATGATGTTATCTCAAGAGCTGGAAAAATTATTCAAATAGGAAGTAACGTGATCCTGTTACCTTTTAATCTCTGTAATGATCTTAGCTGACCCGGTTGGTTGGGATAATAGGTGAAGATTCGTCTTTTTTGATATCGAATAGAACACCAGTGCACAGTAACACAAAATGCCTTTTTGCAGTTAGCACTAGCAGTTTTGTTCCAAATATCCATGTAGAAATATTGTAGTGATGAAGTGATAAAAAAAACAAAACAAGAGGCCATGGCAACTGGCATAAATGATTTCTGTGATAAGCCTACATTGGCATCTTATCAGAATAAACACACAGCATTTCGTCTGTAGTGTGACGACATAGGCACGCCCTGGCAGGGCATGTTGTTCATAGTAGTAGAACCAGCTGGTAGACTAATCCAGTGGCTTCCCACTGGGAGACGTAGAGTGGGAAGACCTCTTTCACTTTGAAGACCACATACTACACTTTTGTAGCCTGGGTGCTGTCCTATTTGTATAGGATGGCACTTTTGTCCATGCTAGATCGTCTTGATCTTGATGTAATACTGCGTAACAACCCTCGGGGTAAAACACGCAGGGGGGGGGGGAGTGCGCAGCGCTCTAAATACTCCTCAAGTGTAGCAGAACTGCTTCCGGCACTTGTCAGCCTCTGGTAGAGAAAGACACTGGTCTCACAAAGGGACAGGGGTATTGGAGTGTACGTTATCAAAGTGTACCTCACTGGATTAAAAAGCCACAGGCATGATGTTGATGATGATGATAATGATTTGTTCCATCCCCAGGTGTGGCCACTGCAAGAGGCTGGCTCCTGAGTACGAGGCTGCTGCTAAAGTCCTGAAGGACAACGACCCCCCCGTGCCCCTGGTCAAGGTGAGGTCTTCATCTTCAACTTGATCTTGACATCATTTGGATCCACAATTAGCAAAATTACATACATAAAATCTGCTCTTTAGAAGCAACGCTCGAACTTCTTTTTTGGGAATAGGTGCACTGGTGCACCCACAGAAAAACTTTGGGTGCCCAGCTCCAAATTTGGGTGTACTAAGGTGCACATGCACCCGGTATTTCCAGCCCTGAGAACTCAGTCATGATTGGGTTGTCATGACAACCAGATGTTGCAAGGTTGCAGCCACCGTAGTTGGAGTCCAAACTGTCACGTCATCTCACCCACTCAAATTTTGGTTTCCAGACATCTCAATGAAGCTCAAAAGTTTCCATCCCTGGTTGAAGAGTGAGTTGCAAATATCAGATTTTCTGATGTTAGCCAAGTTGATTCTTTTCCTTAGAACTATCTCATTGCCAATTTGTTATGTATCTGCAGGTTGATTGCACAGCTGACGGTGGTAAGGACACCTGTTCCAAGTACGGAGTGAGCGGGTACCCAACACTCAAGATCTTCCGCGGTGGAGAATTCTCCTCAGAGTACCAAGGGCCAAGGGAACAGAGTAAGTTTAAAGTTAAAACTTCAGATCCAACACAAAAAAGTTCTATCACCTAGAGCTTTCGACCAGTCACTCTGGTCTTCCTCAGTAGACTGACCCAGTGAAGCTTGTCACATGGCTTCTTTGAAATGTGACGTCAACACTGGATCAAACGTATCTGGTAGCTGATGTCTTGGTGGCTGCAAACACAGGATCAAATTGGCCATTAGCTAGACAGTACTGGTATGCATTTGCCAGTTGGTGGTTAATGGACACTCCTCTGGCCAATAGACACTGCCTTGCCGGTGCAACTTGCCACCGTATGATCTGCTTGGAGATTCGGAGCAAGGGGGCAGTTACTGGCCTAAGCACTTATGTTGAGAGATCTTCTTGTACAGATTTGACTGTTTGAATGTGATTTGGTAAGTTATGTGTGTGTTTATTCCTTGACCCGCAGATGGCATTGTGAGCTTCATGCGTAAGCAGGTTGGACCCAGCGCTAAACCCGTGCTGGACAAGGAGACCATGGAGAAGTTCATCGGCAACTTTGAGGCCAGTGTCGTCGGTAAGTGTTGTTTTTAGAGCAGCAATAGAATCAATCCTTCTCTATGGGTCAGAGTGCTGGACACTCACAAAAACACTGGAGAGAAGGTTAAATGGCTCATACACTAGAATGGTGAGAAATGTCTTGAACATCTCATGGACACAAATAATTTCAAACCGTGAGCTGCACAAAAACATACTGCCAATTGCTGAAACAATATGGCAAAGGAGGCTACGTTTTGTAGGCCACTGTTGGAGGAACAAGGATGAGGTAGTACACAAGCTCTTACTGTGGAACCCGAGTCATGGAAAGAGTACCCAGCATACCCTAGCAATAGGCTAGCATAATTGCCTTTGCCACCCAGCAACTGGCAAAATTATGGAATTATTATACATGTACAACCCACCAGTTTCAAAACCAACGCTCACCACCATCTCCTAGCATTATAATTACCCCCTATCTTCCACCAACTTAGCTCAGTGCCCAGAAATGGTGTTTTGGCCTTGCACTGATCAAATTAAGAAGAAAACATTAAAAAAACATTGTGCTTTGCAGGTTTCTTTGCTGAAGACAGTGACTTGAAGAAGGCTTTCCTGAAGACAGCAGACAACAACCGTGATGACTACAGGTTTGCCTACACCGAGGCTCGCGATGTCATCGACAAGTACGGATACCAGGACGAGTGAGTACTGTAGAACTCAGCACTTGTTTCTCACAAGCTCCTGGTGTAGTACATTAGTACTCTCCAAGCAGAGGTTTGGGTTTTGGGTTATTTTTTGTGTTTTTAGACTTTTTTATCAGGGTTTCTTTCTTGCACTGGAATTGTTCTTTCACCCAACCCAACGGGTGAAAGAAAAATTCTGGTGCAAGAAAGAAACCCTGATAAAAAAGTCTAAAAACACGCAAAAAATAACCCAAAACCCAAACCTCTGCTTGGAGAGTAGTACATTAGTTGCAAGTAAAATAATAGCTGTCACAGTGTGTTGGGTTACATGTACATTGGAAACTTATAACAAGAGCTTGTACTAGTAAGTGAGTAAATGAGCACATATGACAGCAATATTTCTGAGCAGGGGCTAGGTCCAGGCCGATACCTAAACTTACTTGTACCTCAAATTCTAATGATATGATTCTTCGCTTACAAATTTGTAAAACTTTTGCCTGACTGATGTTCCTTTCCCGCTGCAGTGCCGTCGTGTTGTTCTACCCACCACGTCTCCACAACAAGTTTGAAGAGAAACAGCTGGTCTATGACGGGAAGGCCTCCGAAAACAAGATCAAGAACTGGCTCAAGGACAACGTGTAAGTTTTCATTGTGTATCATCTAGAATTCTCCCTTTCTAGTGGTTATGTTATTATGATATTACTAAAAGGATGGTTTGTATACAATGATATATATATA